TAACATAAGTTAAGCACGAAGCTCCTATCTACTAAGGAAAGATCCATTCCTATATACTATCGCTTCGTGTCCTAATCTAGTAGTGTTGCGACCACTTCTACGAGTGCTTGCTCAAGTGCTCGTAGGATTGCTTACACGCTGCCTCCTATAGCGAGCAGTAGCCTAAGTGCTCGTACGCTGACTCGCTCACGTGACCTTCAGCCCTTAGCTGTCACGTAGTGCGGTCTCGTACTGTAATAGTAAGCTAGACAAGCTTATAAAGCTCTATAAGATAATACTTAATATTAATAATTATTAGTAAAAATACTAAGTAAAGAAGAAAAAGAGTTATAGTAATTATTAGAAAAGTAAGAAAAGCTTAGGAAAATCTAAGAAAGATTACTATAGTCTATAATTAATAGACTTTAATACTATCTAAAATAAATAACTATATAGACCTAAGCTAAACTATAAGAGTTAGAGTAAAGAATCTAAAAACAAGTCTAGAAAATTATATTATAACTATAATAAAAAAGGACACTTTAAATAAGATTCTAGAATTAAGCTATAGGCAGACTATAACTATAATAGGAAATTAGTTAACTTACTATAGAAGAAGAAAGTTTCTATAATCTAAAAGAATAAAAGAAGTAATGATTATACTAGCCTCTTATAGATAAGTTGTCATAATAATATATATAAAACTTACTACATAGATAAAGAAGATGCTAGTTAGTTTCTATAATGTCTTAGACACTAACTCTAACTAAGAGACGATAAAAGTAAGGACAAAATAAGGAAAGCTATAAAGGTTAGTCTATTACTACTAGGAAGTAGCAACTTAATTAGGTAAGACAATAGTATAATAAGGCTAAGGTAGGGTCTTAGTTAGTATAGTCTATAATGCCTAACCTCCTATGTTATACTTATGTAATAGAGACAGCTATATATAGGGTAGCCTTAGTAAGACAGTTATATAACTACATCTCTACTTATATGCCTTATACTATTACTTTATGTCTTAATCTAGTAGTGTTATAACTACCTCTATAAGTGCTTACTTAAGTACTTATAGGATTACTTATATACTATCTCTTATAGTAAGTAGTAGCTTAAGTACTTATATACTAACTTATGTATATAACTACTAAGTCCTAGCTATTACATAGTATAGTCCTATACTATAACAAATACCTTCTAGTAGAGAGAATAAAAGTAGTAAGAAGTCTATTAGTTATAGACTTAGTAAAATATGTCTATTTAAAGCTAGCTAACCTTGATTTTACTATACTCTATTCTATACTTCTATAGGTAATAGTAGTAATAAACTAGCTATATACTATCTAGAAAGTATATTCCTAGATACTACTACTCTTACTCTTACTTATAGGTATACTTATGTCTACTCTAGCTTTAAAATACATTTAGGGTTATGTAAGGGTTAGTCTATTACTATTAGGAAGTAGTAACTCGATTAGGTAATATAATAGCGTAATAAGGCTAAGGTAGGGTCTTTACTAGTATAGTCTATAATGCCTAACCTCCTACATTACACTTACATAGTAGAGGCGACTTTATATAGGGCAGCCTTAGTAGAGCAGTCACGTGACTACATCTCTACTTATATGCCTTATAGGTTACGTTAGAAAAGTGTATCTATCTCTATAGTTAAAGTACACTTTAGAGGTAAAAACACTAAAATATCTAGTAGCTAAAGGACGTATAACAAGTGTAGAGGTAGTAGTAGTAAGTCAATAGTATACTCTTTATAGAACACTATGAATTTAGTAGTTATATAGCTCCTATAGCTATCTAGGACTAAAAGTCTATACTAGCCTTCTAGAGCTAGCTTTATGTTTTGCTTAAAAACACGCTCTAACTACTTAAATGTAAGCATGTTTAATGTCTAGCCATTTTCTAATACTCTAAAGTTTATAGAAATAGTAGCTTTAGTAAGTATCTACGCCTTGTCTAAGCTCTTTCCTTTAAAAACAATAAATAGAAGTATAGAGTTACTTACTACATTTATGTACTTAATTACTATTACCTACTCTTACTACAACCCTACTACCTTATATGTAGTACTATTCTAACGAATAGTTAATGCTCTATTTAATAGCATTGATCTAATTACGAAACCTATCTTGTCTATGTTATAGACTATGTCTAAAGTATAGCTATGCTTTTAAAAAAGTATAAGAACTATACTAAACTGCCTATCTATAGCCTCTATACTTGTCCTATTATAATAGCTCTTTTCTAAGGATGTAGTCTATTGACTCGAGATACTAGGATACTAGTTTTTAAAGTACTATAGCTAGTTTTAAATAAGTAGTAGGAGGTAAGGTAGAGGTGTGTTTAAATGTTAAAATTTATTCTTTTAGATTTCTTTAGTAATTTTAACGTAAAGAGCTAGTAGCGTAGGAAAACTAATGTTTGTAAGTTTAGTTAACTACCTAACAAGCTCTTTTTCTTTAGAATTACTAAGCATTTGCTGTTTTTTATGTGTTTAATGCCTTGAAGAATGTGTAGAGATATAGTAGTAAAGAGTAGACAATAGTATTTTAAACACTCTTATAGTAGCTCTAAGAGATAAAAACTCGTTATTTTAATACTACTTAATAGCGCGTAAAAGCATAGCCTTAGAATACATAAAGAAGTATGTTTATACCTTAAGAAAGAAAAAAGTTATTATAGTTTAAAGTTGTAAGTCTAGATTTTAGTGTTCTACTTCTAAGAGTATTCTACTTCCTAGTAAGCTAATATATATAGTAGAGGTAACTATATATGGGGCAGCCTTAGTAGAGCAGTCACGTGACTACATGTCTGTTTAGATGCCTTACATAGAAGTAGGGCAAAATTAGTAACATACTCTAGAGACGACTTTACTATGTCAAACATAGATAGTTTAACTTTTTAAAATAAAAGTAGAGACTATAGATTATAATTAGTTACTATATGACTTAATAAAGTTTTACATAAGGCTTGTAGGTATTATTGTAAGCTTAAGAATAACGTTGTTGTTAGTTGGCAACCACCTCAATTAAGGCTGGCCAAATGCTAGATCTTTACATTGACAAGAAAGCTTTGGGAAAAGGAGCTGTTGGCAGCTTCTCGGTGAAATTTACAGTCATAGACTATATGTTATAGAATTTGACAAATCACTGCTACAATCCTCCATCCCGCGTAGCGCAATTGGTCAGAGCGTAAGACTTTTACACGTGGGAGATCTTAAGGTTGAGAGTTCGAGCCTCTCCGCGGGAGCACTTAGACCACTGTCGCGGGTGGTAAAACCTTTTTATCCTCTCATTTGGTTGAGACCCTTGCGTCCTCGATTTTTTGCCTTTGAGCCCACGAAAGGACTGTAATATGCATAAATTTTATAGGTGTGGCAACCCGAATGTTTATCAAAACTCATTTATATGTATCTAGGAGATTTGCTTTCCAATATATAATAAGCTTGCTTACGAACGCGATTACCGCAGAAGGTGACTGCTCTCCACTTCCCACGCCTTGGCCTTGAATGCATAGCTTTATCTCATGAATGCGATTCTCACTGTGTGTTTCTCAATCAATCCTTTCAGAATTATTGGTCAACTCTTTACAGCTCATAAAACTGGGTAGCTCGTGGAAAGGGCTTAAGTGTGTCGCCTATGAATCTCTTGCCCACTTCTAATGTTTTTTAACGATATTGATGAGGTCACGAGCTTCACCGAGAGCGGTGAGTTGTATTCTCATCCAAACTCCAAGGTTCCACTAGGCCTCGAGTAGTTCGATAAGATCCGGCTAACCAAACATCACCTTCTGTAGGATCGATTAAGCGCTTCATGGTAGCCCTAAGAGTTACTACGAACCGTATAAATCCCGAAGAGAAAGCTCAGATACAATCGGTTGTTAAGAAGTACCGTCGTTCCAGACAACTCCCGAAACCCTTCTCGAACTACTACGTATCTTACAAAATTTTGGCCATATTCAACAATGATACTTCGCTTGCCCTTGAGTGTCATCCTATTGAAGAACCCCTATTGACGAGTGAATCTCTTGTGATATTAGCGCTTTTGCACCATGAACTGACCAATCTAGATCTCGTAGGATACTCAAGTTGAAGAAGTCCGTATAAGTTCACAGACTGAGTGATGTAAGAGCGAGAGGTTTTTATTGATGTAATTTCCCGCGCAGATTGCCTCGCGCAGCTTGAAAGATCATGTCACCAACACGCATATGGACATGTATAGATATATGAGTGTCAAAAACGGATCCAGAGACGCGTCTCCAGAGTTTTGGAAAGGGCTACGATCATCGCAAACCCTCATCTATATTTCCGGCGAACACCAGACATTATGGAACCTAGGAAACATCGGCAGGTGTGTTTAGACGTTTTTTTATTCTAATAGAACTGGCGTGTTAGCATCGGCTCTCGCCCTCAGGATCATCGAAAATACTTCCACTGCGTCATTGAAGACACATTCTTTCATCTTATAGCGCTTCTTCTATGCAGCTTTGCTCACACTCAGCATCTTAGAAGTATCGAGGCACGAGATCCTTTGGATATACTTTCCATTGTTGGTTGGCGTTTTAAGACATCTCTCATATAAATTTCGTGTCTCAGCATGAGTCGGGGAGCACTATAACTTCTTCCTTGATTGGCGCGTTGCCGTGATTCTATATAGATGTCACATAGATCTTCGTATGGGAGTCCGTTATAATTTCCAAACACTGCGCACATTCATCGTCAGAGGGCAGAGGTTGCACATACGTAACTTGAGGCATCAATATGATATTACTAGTACAGAACAATATCAACGAGCTGCAAAGAACCGTCAAAAGGATCCTTAGGAAATTGAAATTTATTCACGAGACGAAAGTTTGGAGTGTGAAGCTCGTATATGCAAAAGAAAATGGAGGACTGGCAAAGATATTCTAAGTTGTATATGGATAGTGACGTTTCTCCCTAACTTTCTTATCCACGGCAGTTCCATACCCAGCTCTAGAGCTTGGATTGTAAGGCCAACTAGGAGGCCAACTAGGAAAGTCACGTATTGTTGACTGACGAAGTCACTTCGACTTTGTCGAACAGCTCATAGTCCTACCTCCTCATAGATAATCTCAGGGTTGAGAAGTGATCAAGAGATGGCTCGAATCTAGCGGCTAAGGTCCGGAGGGAAGTACTGCCCATAAATTGCAGTAGTGCGTCATCTCCCATTTGAGTACAGCAATTTATCATTTCACTGGATAGTACGTCGTGTAGGAAGCCTGGTATGTATCCTGCCTCACCACTTTACCGATCAGATGCGATCGTTCCGGCTCTTTTCGAGGAAAGAAGATCTTGATGTACTTCTCCTAAAGGCAGACTTTGCATAAAAGTGAAGTTGTGAAGGCACTTAGCTTATCCACAACCTCTCGGCAGTGAAACAAGTTGGTGAATTACAACAGGCTTAATGGCCGGTCTTCGTTGTCCAATGCAAAGCGCTTCTTTACGAGCTCAGTGATCCACATGTTCCGTTGCTTCCAGGTGACTAGTAATGCACCTTTGCTCGATAGTACACTATCATGTGTCGTAAAGCCTTACCTTTGCGCAAAACAACCCTCTAACCTAGCTGTAATCACTATGGCCTACTCTCTTTACGATGCGACGGTGGTAATGGCCAGAAGCGCTCTGACTTCCCTTGATAGCATTCTCGTCCAGGCCGAGAAACACTCTAATGCAGCTGGGTTTTAGCAGCACGGCTCATCGAAGATATGAGGCTTCTCACCTTACAAGTCCACTACGCCGTTTCTGAGGCCGAAGCGGTGGCTGCAAATCTCTCTGGCCAAGAGTACGAAGAGCCAAGTGAAGATCTTGACTCATATGAGAAGATGCATGCACGCATTGAAAATGCTCCAAAGGAATTGGGTAAAACTAAAAAAGAGACTGCTAATAGAGTCGGCGAGACAACGACTTATGCTATTCTCCATTAAGGGCGTGTGGAGGTACCCGTGAAAGCACTCGTATGTTCAAAGCATATGCCAAACATCTATTTCCACGTTGGAATTACATACGCTATCTTGAGAATAGAAGGTGTTGCGCTGGAGAAGAGGGACTGAAGCAGGGCATTTGTAAATGTATTCACTTGGAAACACTTAGCAAGCAATTTGCAGAGAAATGAGACGTTTACTGTTCCAACCAGGAAACTAGTGACTCCCCTGTGCCTGACGGCCTTGCAAAAGGGTAATAGACGTTATGAGGTTGTCTGACGCATGTACGGCGCTATGAAAAAACTTTAGAGTCACGCCCTGGATGATGAGTGTATCGAAAACCCAGAAACATGCTTAGGGTTCGACGACATGCAAGGCAATATTTAGCACGCACCACCGCATCTGTAGTTCACCTCGTTGACAATCTAAAAGCGGCAAAGCCTGTGACCTGGGATGCCCGATCATATGCCAGCGAAGTGAATGCTTTGATGGGCCGCGGCGGCGTGTCGCATCTTGGTTTCATCTGGCTTTGTGATGACTGATTTGGTAGTAAATGAGGGTGAGCCGTAAACAATGGTATGTATCAGAAGTGACGAATGCGAGCCTGTCCCAAAAGTCATCAATCTTCAGGAAGGACAAGATGTGGGTCTTCTGTAATACTGCTGTGGTTTTGTCTGATAACTTACTCTAACTGTACGATTCTGCTTAGCCGTCGTGAACTGGAGACCCTTAGCATGACATGGAATAGTATGAAGTAGCACTACATGGATTAAGAAACGTTGGCCGTTTAGCGGAAATACAGTCCTAAACTAAACCTTAGGTGCAAGCCTTGCGAAACTGAAAAGCGCAATTTCTTGTAGCATGTGGCACCAATAGAAACAGCAGGTCTCACAGCGTCACAGGAATCTCAGTCGTCTCGCCCAGAGTCGCAACACTGATATGAGGCCAACTCAGGCCATTGAAATTCAACAGCACAGTCTGTGTATACTGAAGCTGCGTCCACGATACATTCAAGCTCTTTCCTGCCGTAAGACCAGTCGTTGCAGGTACCACGAACGTCGGTCCCGGAACCCCAGTAGAGCTCTTCATCTGGATTTTCTGCTCGTTGGCTTGGCCTGGTTGAATTTGCAGCTTCCCTCTGACCTTCTCAACCCAGAACCTGGCTTTCGCAACGGCGGCGTGGGCGTTCGCATTCCCACCAGGTCCGGCGTCCGTCACGGTGGCTCCTGTGCCACCCAAGAAAGCGATGTTAGCAGTACCACCACCAATGAACGGCGTGGGTAGGCTAGTGAGGTCAAAGACGAAGAAGCTTTCGATATCCTGGCCCTGTACCGCGTTACGGAGAACTGTGCTTGGGTCCTTCAGGATATCTTGTGTGATGGTCTTGTTTGCTATAAAATCGTCAGTTGAGGATCAATGGGCTGTGAAGAGATCGCAAAGCCAGAGGCGCCAGCCATGTAACTTACCATTGAATATGTCAAGATCAGTAGGCAGTCGATCAGCTTTGTTTGACAATTTCTGGTTGGCAAATGGTACCTTGCTAGAAGGTGCTCCAATGCGGAAGGGTGTGATATCGATCTTATCGAATGAGAGGCTCTTTCCCGGTATTGGTTTCGTCATGTCTGGTGATGCACCCTGCATGTTGATGGTAGTACCGTGTGGGATAGACGCCATACGGCATAGGGTCGTACCCTGGACTGGCGAATTGGTACAGGCGGGTATGGCCATGAACATGCCCGGCTCGAAGTGAATGTCGGTGGGCTTTGCATCATCCAAACCTGTCAGAGGATTCTCGAGCGCCGAGACCCTTTGGACGTATGGTATCCCACTCAAATCGATGTCGGGCTGATCTTGAAAGCCACGGTTGGGAACTCTGCCCAATGAGTCCGAGAAACTAATTGTCTCCCCCGTCAAGTTCAACTCCAAGACGTTATCGTCATTGCCAGGCACCAACGCATCCAGAGATGATGGATGGTTGCTACGAGGTCTAAAAATCGTGTTGAAGCCCTTGCCCGCGAACGTCTTGCTCTGGAGCAACGTGAGAACACCAGCAGAGTCTGGCAATGGAGGCGCTTTGGCCGGGGGTGCTGGGGGTGCAGCTGGAATTGGTGCTGCACTTTGGGCCTCTTTCTCAAGCTTCGCGATCTTGTTATCCACAGGTCGGAAGAAGAAGTTTCCTAGCTTGAGGGCAGGCACATCGCCAGTCGCTACCTCATCAAGGACGATCTGGGTCGCCATGTTACGTATCACTTGTAATGATGGGACTTGGGTTTGATGGAGTGGTGAAGCGATCTGCTGAACGACTCTGC